ATACAATCTATCACCTATTTCAAGCTAGGGTTCACAACACCCAAGGGAATTGATAGGCTAATCCATAGCTAGACAAGGGAAAACAACAAAAAGGAGAGAAAGAACCATGAAGAGATGACTATCTTCCTTCCTTGTTGCTTGAATCTCCCTTAAGAGGTAAGAATCTTCACTCCTCTAGCTTGAAGAAAGCCCAATCTACTTCTTCCTCCTTTGAATGACACTTTCTCTCTCTAGATTTGAAGGAGAAACCCTAATCTCTCACTAGAGACCCTCTTTTATTCTGCAAACTAAAAACCTACCAAAAAGCTCCTTTTTTCTCTTTCCCAACAACCTTATATTTATAGAGCCCGATATTCACTTTTTATGGTCAGAAGTTACGGCCTTGACATTGTAGCCCTAACTATGACATCAGACCAAAATGGACTGTTTTGGTCAATGTTTGGTCCCACTTCACGATCAGTCGATCGTGAAACACTCGAGGTCCAGTGAGGTGCGCCAAGCATTCTAGAACTTGTTAATGTCACGCCCAATGATCAATTGCCACGATCTGGTGACCGTGACATTTGACCTCTACCCTTGACCTTGGACTGTCTTTCACTTTACTTCAACTTTACTTCAATTGTCCTGAAACTCATCATCAACCTTCGCACACATGCTAGGACCTGAAATGTATAAAAAATAGCACAACCTAGCGTAAAATAGGTCAAGAGACGATGAAATGCAAAGTCAAACGATCAAGAAATGAGGGGTAAAATGTGTACAGTTAGACCTTAATCACACCCCAACACTTGAACGTTTGCTTGGGGTAAACAAGGTAATTTTTCAACCTAACAACAATAACTTGGGGACACATCAATGGGCACAAAGCGGGCGAATCTCAATGGCTATTGGGTATCAATACATGAACCATTATAAGCAATACCGACACCCACCACAAATGACATTCGAATGCATTAAGAATATGCTACCGAAAAGTTCTCACCCTGTTCACAAATCAATGCACGTCTCGACAAGACTACTCACCAACCACAACTAACTGTGCATAGAGTTCAAGTCCAAGGAACAAAAGCAGTGAACCCCCTCTCTCATACATAGGTACTCACCGGGGATAAGATATGAACATGCAAAATGTGAATGAATCACTCACTCTCGACCAGTGGGGTTAGGACCATTTGGTACAAAAGATGTACACAAGCATCAACACTCAGCCCTATCGTCTCTTCACCACCGCGGCAACCTCTAAACGCTAGAGTTCACAAGATGGTTGTCATCACTAGCTTGTCCGGAGGTCTTATACAAGGGTTCAAATGACTGGAAATTGTCTTGGACATGGGGAACAAGTCTTTTGGGTGGGTGGAAAACAAAGCATGAGGTCCTACATCTTCCACCTAAAACCAAAGGTTCTATGGTTACAACTAAGAAACTTTCCTACAATCAACGACCACTAGCATTGGCCAAAAACCACACTCCCCCTCTTCCAAACCATTACCAACTACGAGCTACATTCAAGCACACTTCCTCGGCTAATCCTGCTATCCATAATTCAAGCATAGTAGTGAAGGAGGTCAACAAACAATTTGGGTGTTTTGATGAGGTCATCAAAGCCAAACACACTCAAGTTGAAGGGCCAATGACTCGAGCTAGGGCTAAGGCTTTTCGGGATCAAATTGCAAGCTATTTGGCTAAGGAGTTGCTAGAAGGAAAGTCCATCACACTCTTTGGCTCTTCCGCTCTGTCCCAGTAAAATGCATTAACGATTTTCTCTGTAAAAAAGCATTCCAACAGTTAATAAATCGCGAATTTTCTGTGACTTCTATGAAAAGTATGTTTTTACGCTTTAAAGCGGGAGCGCCAAGGTCTTTACACGAATTGTATGACCTACCTCGAAACTTCCCCAAACAAATTTTTCACACAACATGCCAATATTTCGAACACCGTTTACCGGCCAATCTCGCTATGGTGCACATGACACATTTTATGTGCATATGCTCGCAACTTTTCTATTGGTCCACATCACCCAAACTAAAAATGAGTGGCCAGAATTCGTGGGCTTGAAAGTTGACTCAAATTAGAGATGAGCCACAAAATTGGAGCCAGTTAAATTGAGTAAAAGTGTCAAGAGACCACCAGGTGAGAGATAAAGACTTCTCCCCATTTTCATTTCTCTCTTTTTCTTTTTCCACCTACTCTTTCATCTTTTTCACTAAAAGTTTTCATTCTCTCTCAAACTTTTTTTCCATAGTCAAGGGACCACTAGGTGAGAGAGAAAGACTTCTCCCCTTGTTATTTCTCTCTCAAATTCCTCTTTCTTTTTCCACCTTCTATCATCATCTTTTTTTTCTTCTAAAAGTGTTCAAACTCCGCCTACCTTTAATGCTAACCGTCTCTTCCCGCTATGAATATTTTTTTGAAATTGACCACCACTGATCTAGGTAAGCTTGTGAAGATCGACCAATTGTCGAAGGAAAGATTGTCGTCAATTCGAAGAAGAGCCCTTTGATTCTTGTGTCCAAAGCACATGACTCGTCAATTATTTGTAGGAATACTGAAATTGAATATGAGTTTACCTCATATTGAATACATGTTGAGTTGATACTGAATATGAGTATACTTAGTATTGAATATGACATCAAACATATGAGTGCAAACTAATTCTCATCTCTGATACTAATTTAAATAATATTCAATCCCACATAAAGTAATGTTCAATAAAGGTTATCTGATATTTAATGTTTACTCAATAAATATTCAAGTCAAATAAATCAATCATCTTTGTTACTAGTTCAACTAATATTTGGTACCATGTACACTAATATTAAGTACCAGGTCATCCGATATTCAATATTTACTCAACAAATATTCAACTTAAATTAATCAATCATCTTTGGTACTAGTTCAACTAATATTTGATACCATATACACTAATATTCAGTACTAGGTCATCCAATATTCAATAATTACTAAAAAAATATTCAAGTTAAATAAATCAATTATCTTTGATACTCGTTCAACTGATATTTGATACCATGTAAACGCATATTCAATGCCAAATTATTAATATTCATTGTTTACTCAACACATATTCAAGTCAATAAATCAATTCTCATCTCTGATAGTAGTTCAACAAATATTTGATGAGGTCTTCAAGTATATTACTAGAATTTATCGTTCAGTAACTAGCAATCGTTATATTCTAAAAGGTCACATATACTAATTACATTTTCAACTTGGATTCATTACACAAAATTGCAAGTTGGAAATGTAATGAATCCAAGATTTTCTACTAGTAGAACTAGTATGAAAGTTGATTTATTTATTTGACTTGAATTTTTGTTTAGTAAACATTGAATATCAGATAACCTCGTACGAAATATTACTTTACGTGGGATTGAATATTATTTACATTAGTACAAGAGTTGAGAATTAGTCTACACACATATGTTCAGTGTCATATTCAATACTAAGTAAAGTCATATTTAGTATCAACTCAACATGTATTCAATATCAGGTTAATTCATATTCAATTTCATTTACGCTCATTCCATACATTTCTACTCGCCTTCGTACACATAATTGACGGGTCATTGGCTTTGAACCCAAGAATCAAAGGGCTCTTCTTCGAATCAACGACGATCTTTCCACGCTCAAATTGGTCGATCTTCAAAAGCTTACCTAGATTAGCAATTGTCAATTAAAAAAAAAGTTGACGCCGTGAAGAGTAGGTTAGCAATAACGGTAGTCGGAGTTTGAGGCACCTCTCATTTAAAAAAGAAAATAGGAATAGATAAAGTGGAAAAAAGAAAAAAATTTGAGAGATATTGAAAACTTTTAGAGAAAAAAGTTGAAGAGAAGATGGATAAAGAAAGAGAGAAAAATGAAAAGGGGAAGAAATTTCACTTTTGGTCCCTTGGCTCTTTTATGTAGATTAGCTGGCTCCAATTTGTGGGTCCTCTCTAATTTGAGCTAACCTTTAAGCCAATAAATTATGACCACTCATTTTTAGTTTGGGTGATGTGGACCAATAGAAAAACTCTGAGCACATGCACATAAAATAGGGATGGCAATGGGTCGGGTCGTGGACAGATAGTGCATATCCGTTACCCTACCCAAAGTAGTTCGGGTTTTATCCATACCCACATGTGAAACGGCTAGAAAATTAAAACCACTCCCATACCCGTTCGGGTTTCGGGTATCCACGGTTATTCATGAGTAATGATTTCTCTTCACAACTCTAACCAATATGTTAACATCCACACTTATTCTCACATTACTTAAGAGGAAAAGTATGACAATTATTCACTAGAATGAAGAAAATTAATTAAAACGTAATATATGCTAAATATAAAATATGTTAAATATAAAATATGTTAGAGAAAAGTAATGATTATTTCCAGACAAAATACGTATGTATGTGTATAATCGGGCGAGTTCGGGTTGGATAGTGAGAAACCCATGCCCACCCATTACCCACAATATTCGGGTTCGGGTTTTACCCGTACCCACTAAATGTCCTTCGGATTCGGATTTTACCCTACCCGATTAGGCTGGGTTCGGGCGGATATCCACGGTTACAGATATTTTTGCCATCCCCATAAAATATGCTATGTGCACCATAGCGAGATTGGTTTACCAAGGACTGGACAATCGGTTAACGGTTAGCGGTTAACCGACCGGTTACAATCGAAATAGACCGGTTATCCACTAACCGAAAATCGTAGTAACCGAAAATTGGTCGGTATTCGGAGGGATTGACGAGATGCTTTTGGTCTTGGAACAGCTCCGTTAACCAAAAGCCGTGATAACCGAAGTCTTGAAACCTCTTTTCTGTCGGTAGTCTAAATTTGAGAGGTAATTCGATTTAACTGATAACCGATCTTTTGATTTTCGGTTATAACCGAACCGACGAAACTCCACGCCTGAGTTTACCAACACCAAGCTCAAGAAAGTCGATACACAACTGACAACACCAATTGATCCCCAGCCAAAAAAAAAAAAAAAGAAACAGAAAAATATAATTTTGAAAAATCCTCCACCTCAAGCAAATTATCCATCTCTCCGAAACGTCGTTTTCCACTTCCCCGGGCTTTTTTCTTTGCTTTTCTCCTTCCTTCTTCAGCCCCTCCTCATCGCCGGCGACCCTTTCTACCCCGATCGTCTCCCCAGCCCCCAAATCCTCTTCCTCCCTCTTGACGAAGAGAAATGACTTTCACAACCCATTTCAGCCACTGCTCCACTTCTTGTAACGACAACTCCAAGCTATTCAGCAGCAGTAGCAGGAGTTCCCCTGCCATTCATTATCGCTTCTCCGGCTCAAGAAGACTGTGCCGCTACCGGATCAATTCCGCCAACGGGAATCCTCTGAAAGCTTTGCCCTCACTTCCCATCTCGGAATCAGCAGCCGATTATGATTATGATGATAATGTTGAAACGGGGGATTCTCATTCCACTCTGAGCATAACAGTGGTCGGAGCTTCAGGGGATCTTGCGAAGAAGAAGATATTCCCCGCGCTTTTCGCTCTTTACTATGAAGATTGGCTCCCTCAGGTTATAAATTTACCTCTTCTCGTTCTTGTCAAACACCTCTACAATGTGATCAGAGATAGCAGCGGCAGATTGATCCGATCGAACTAGTTTTTCTTTTAGGCCTGACTGGGTTTTTGGGATTCTCCGTTCTTTTTGTTTTTGCTATTCTATTTCTTGTGTGAAGAATTTCAGGGTGTTTGGATATGCTCGAACTAAAATGACGGATGAGGAGCTGAGGAACATGATCAGCCGTACATTGACTTGCAGAGTGGACAAGAGGTTTGTTTTAATGGCTCTGCACACTCGAAATCATTAACTGGGGAATCTAAAACCATGGCAACACCTTGAATATAGCGGTATGACTGATAGCTCGTTCACAAGGCTGGAAACTCGTCCACTAGGCTGGAAACTCGTCCTTTATTAGAATTAGAACACACACAGATGTTTCTTTGCTTTAGTGACAAATGTGAATGACGGGGGTAAAAACAGGGAGGATTGCGAGCAGAAGATGAACAACTTCCTGGGAAGATGCTTCTACCAGGCTGGACAGTACAGCTCCGAGGAACACTTTGCTGAGTTGGACACCAAGCTCAAGGAGAAGGAGGTTATACTCATATAACATGAAATCTTCACACTTCACATCATTTGCAATGTATCGTATTCATTCTTATGGCTTAGCTTGATTCTAAATGGGAATGTGGACTTCTGTTATGTGTAGGGAGGGAAATCGTCCAACAGGCTATTTTACTTGTCTATTCCACCAAACATATTTGTTGATGTGGTACGATGTGCAAGCCTTAGAGCCTCCTCTGCCACTGGCTGGACGAGGGTTATTGTGGAGAAGCCATTTGGCCGTGACTCGGAGTCGTCTGCTGAGCTCACTAAATGCTTGAAGCAGTACCTAACTGAGGAACAAATCTTCAGGTTTCAAAGCTTTGGTCTTTCTTTCTTTCTCTAAGTACATAGTCTTGTTTGGCAAACAGATCGGGTCTGGTCATTACAGACCGTAGGGTGTAATGGGTCCGATCATTACAGATTGCAGATCAAAGTAGATGGGAGTTATCATGGGTTACAGGTCATAAACAAGTTGGCCAAAACAATGTAAATTTTGGGAAATGAATCTAATTGGGTGGGTATTGAACTGGTTGATCAAATGGGTATGGATCATTGGATTGGTTCATAGTGGTTACGCTGCAATTGATCTAATAGTGATTGATCAAATCATCACATAATGTGTTTGGGTGGGGGTTTAAACAGGGTCAGGCAATATCTTGAGGGACAGGTCACTTCAAAGGAATCAGCATTTGCCCCGTGTTGTTGAACCCTTATCATCGACCACTTACTTTCAGTTTTTATGGTGGTAAACGGTTAAGTCTAGAAGTAACAATGTTTTGCTTCTGCAGGATTGATCATTATTTGGGGAAAGAGCTGGTAGAGAATCTATCAGTGCTTCGTTTCTCGAACCGGGTTTTCGAGCCTCTTTGGTCTCGAGACTACATTCGCAATGTGCAGCTTATATTCTCTGAAGATTTTGGTACAGAAGGCCGAGGAGGGTAAGTGAGTATGAAACACACAGCAGAGAGTTTTGGTTTAACATAGTTTCATTGACTCTTGATTCTGATTGCAGCTATTTTGACAACTACGGGATCATAAGGGACATAATGCAGAACCATTTGCTTCAGATTCTGACATTGTTTGCAATGGAGACTCCTGTCAGCTTAGATGCTGAAGACATTAGGAATGAAAAGGTTAGTACAAATTGTTGATTCACTTCTTACCTTACCTGTATTGTATAGTAATATTTCAAGTTTCAACAAGACCTCCTTCATGCTAGGAATTGAGGATTAGAAATGCCCTTGAACTTCCCATTATCAGAATGTTGCAGCATGGATCTTGACAGTGAAAGGGTCTTGGATGTTGACTTTTATAGGTGAAGGTACTAAGGTCAATGAAAACTCTGCAACTTGAGGATGTAACCCTTGGCCAATACAAAGGGTTCAGCAAGGGTGGGAAATTATACCCTGGTTATACAGATGACCCAACAGTGCCAAAGGATAGCATTACACCAACATTTGCAGCTGCAGCTCTCTTTATCAATAATGCTAGGTGGGATGGTGTTCCCTTTCTCATGAAAGCAGGCAAAGCTCTCCATACCAAGAGGTTTGGCATATATAGTTCCTCCTTAATTTCCGTAGCTCTTAGTCTTAGGTATGCACTCACAAGTCACAACAGTTGTCTGTCTGACTGTCTCCATTAACGTAACTCGATCAAGAGTTGTTTGATATGCAGGGCTGAGATAAGAGTGCAGTTCAGGCACGTCCCAGGCAATCTGTACAAGAGAAACTTCGGAACTGATCTGGATAAGGCTACTAACGAGCTGGTGCTCCGAGTTCAACCTGATGAAGCCATATATCTAAAGATCAACAACAAAGTCCCTGGCTTGGGGATGAGACTTGACCGCAGTGACCTCAATTTGCTCTACAAGGCCAGGTACAATAGTAGTAAACCACATGGTATATAAACAAACACGTCCAGCTCACCATTTTGGCATTCGGCCTAGTTAGCGTACCCTTGATGACTCACATGCTCAAAAAAGACAATTCTCGATCTCCCGGTTAATGCCTAGTGTTCTTTCAAATTGTGAAGGTATCCAAGAGAAATACCAGATGCGTACGAGAGGCTGCTGTTGGACGCCATAGAAGGGGAGAGGAGGCTGTTCATAAGAAGCGATGAGCTGGACGCTGCATGGGCATTGTTTTCGCCAATGTTGAAGGAATTGGAGGAGAAGAGAATAGTTCCAGAGCTGTATCCATATGGGAGCAGAGGCCCAGTTGGGGCCCATTATCTTGCCGCAAAGCATGATGTGCGATGGGGAGATCTTAGTGGTGATGACTCTTAGTATGCGGTTCTGGTGCTCTTCTTGTGATTCTAAACTTGCATTCTGATAGAATCTGATAAAATTAATTATTAACAATTTCAAATTATGGTTAACGTCATCACGTTTACTTTATACATCATTGTCATAAACATAAATCAATTCCACGAACCAACTTATGGTAAATAAAAAAATTTCGCACTTATAAAAAAAAAAAAAAAAATTTGCACTTCCTGGCCGAAAGTAAGATCGGGCTTGTAGAGGTGTATGTTGAGACAAACGATGTTGGTCAGTGTGGAGCTAGTTATGGATGTGATGGCAGTGAAACCTCTTCAAACCACCATTTATATGGTGATGGTGTTGCAAGAGTTGGGATGGTAATGAGTTGGGTTTTGCCAAATTCAAACCAAACCCAGCAGGTATATCTGCAAAAAAAATTCAGAGATAAATCCAACGGGTTTCGAAACCTCAAACCCAACCCAACCCACTAGGTATCCATGACCTTGGTTCTGATGGACAAAAATGCATAATACCAATCTCTTGTCATTATAAAAGTTTATTCCCAGACAAATTATTCATACAAAAAACACCAATACAGTATATATAAGCAATTTCACAAATTATCCATACAAATTGCTCAATATTAAAGATAAACATCCACGAACAACACGATTAATCGACGAATTGTGAGAGTTTGGGTGGTGGGCGGGTATCTATTTGTTGGATATAGCTAAACCGATCATACCCAACCCGTTGAATAGTGCAATGGATTTCAACCCGACCCGCAATCCGTCAATACGAGTTTTACCTGCTTTGAGCGGGTTGAGTCATGTAGGGTACATGTGGATTCGGGTTTTGTTGCCATTTCTATGCAAGAGAGTACGAATGGGTTGGTTATTCAAGCAACTATGAAGGAGGTAGTTATGCAGACGACGATGTGGGAGATGGGATCACATGGGAAGAATGTCCTCATCTAGTTAATTCTGTTGAGCTCGCCCCATCACATGAGTCTGATGGCGTTCTGATTCGGGCCAAATTGCACATGTTTTGCCCCCGTTTTACTTAGGTGTTTGTGCCAAATTCACTCCTTAAAAGGTTGGTTTTACGATAGGTTCTTCGTGTTTGAGTGTGTTCCAGGATTTAACAGGTGAAACCAGCCTCGGAGTCGAAAGATTGGTGAAAAGGATCGAAAACCGGGAGAAGATGTGAAAAAGAGCCAGTTCACGGCTAACAAAGGGAGTTCACGGTCTTGCATGACCGTGAAGAAGAGGAACTGACCGTGAATCGCGAGGCGTCCAGAGCTAAAGTGAAGGTTACTGACGCAAGGTGAGTTCACGGTCACTAAGACAGTGAACAAAGGCAGTTGACCGTCAACTCGAGTGAAAGATGCGGCGTGTTTTGGCGCACGCCTGCAATTCACGGACGCGTTTCATGGTTCACGACCGTGAACTCAACTCATCTCTGGTTTAAAAGATGAGTTGAACGGAGGAGAGAGGGGGGGAGCCCATTTGGTGTGAAAAGCCGTCTTCTACATTCTAGAGAGAGAAATAGGAACCAAATGGAGAAGAAGGCTAGGGTTTAGCTTCAAGGAAGATTTTGGGAAGATTTCCTCCAAGGAAAGCTCAACTCAAGGGCCAAGAAGACTGGGAGCATCCTCCAAGATGGTTTCCATCTCTTTCTCTTTTGTTTTCCCCACTTCTAGCATGGAGTAGACCTCCTTTCACTTGGGTGTTGTGAAACCTTAACTCTACCATGTAGTTTTGTTTTATGTGTATTGGATGATTGTCATTGGGTATTGTTCAATTTAATGATTGAGGCATTATTTATCGTGATTGTGCATGCTTGTGCTTAGCAACTTAGGGGTTGCGCATGTTTTGTGCTTAGCACCCTTAGGTTTGTGCATGTAGGTGCTAGCAATCTAATTGGCCACCTTAGCCTAGCTTAGAGAGGAAAATCCCCCTTCTGAGGGAGACTCAATCGAGTTGGTTTTCCTTCCGCTTTCTAAGCCACCTAAACTAGGTTAAGTTAGGGAAAACCTCGATATTGAGTTAAGCAAGTCCGTTAATCGCGATCAAGCCGTACGACCTTAGAGTTGAGTGAGGGAGTAAGTCAATTACCAATTGTCTAAACCGAGAGGGTCGAGTGACACGACCTTTCATGCTTACCTCGGTTTAGAAATTGAGATTGTGGTCTCCGACCACATATGCATCCTTCTGAGGTTCGCGATTATCGTGCCCAAAGCAATCGTTCCAATCCACATGGCATGGTAGCAGTTAGGTAGAAGCGACACCCGAGTGATCCTTCCACCAAAGAGTTATCAAAACCATTTACCTTTGCTTTCTTTCATTTCAATTAGCAAATCTTTAAACCAAACCTTTGTTGCTAGATAATGATTTCAACAACTGAAGTAGGGGTCGACGGACCGGCCCGGGTCGATATCTAAATACTTGCCCTATACTGCACCTGACTAGAGTTTAAAAACTTGGGCTCTAGTTGGGGTTTTATTATGGTGTAGTTTCGTGCGAGTAAAGTTTTTGGCGTCCTTGCCGGGGACTTGGATCTATTATTCTGAAGAAGTTGTTGGTTGTTAATCTAGCTTTTAATTTCCAGTTTTACAAGTGTGTGTGCTTTCCAGTTTTTCGACTGTGTGTAGGTGGTGCATGACCCGGAGAAACCCGACACCTTTGCTACCACTTGACGAGGACATAAACAGGACTCTCCGACTCCTAGCACGGGAGAGAGAGCTAGCGGAGGCAAGGAGAAGGAGTGAAAGAAGGGGACAACAATTGGATCCCGGTGTTAGTGGAGAAGTAGTTGAAGAAGTGGAAGTTGAACCCGTCATAGAAGTGGAAATGGAGGGGAACCAAAGGCAAGATGTGGCTCCAGGCCGCCAGTTGAATGATGCGGCGGAGGAAGAGGATGCCGCAAGGGAAACAAAGGCAAGATGTGGCTCAAGCCTACCAGTTGAACTATATGGCCCCAAGGCCGGCGGACATTCAATCACCAATCTTACACCCTCCAGTGGCGGCAAACAATTTTGAGATCAAGCCGACTCTAGTGACTATGATACAAAGTAATGCTATATTCCACAGCCTTGAGAGCGAGTCACCAAGAGAGCACGTGCAGAGATTCTTGGAGCTCGCGGGGAGTTTGAAAATTAATGGTGTGCTAGCCGAAGCTTTGCAACTAAGGCTTTTCTCATACTCACTCTCGGGGAAAGCACTTAGGTGGCTAAAAAACCGCCCACCTCGGTCAATCACCTCATGGGACGACCTCCTCAACAAGTTTATGGCTCGTTATTGCCCATTTCGAGCAAGAAGAGGACAAGATCTTGAGGGATGCTTGGGAGAGGTACTCCGGTTACTTTCTTCACTGCCCCCACCACGGGTTTGAAGAACAGTTTCGGATTGAAACCTTCTACGGAGGCCTAATGCAAGAAGATAAGATCCTTATTGACTCCTTGTGTCAGGGTAAGTTGATGAATATGGCTTCACCCCAAATAACCGAGACACTTGAAGATATGGCCTTTAGGGGGTATGATAGGGGGTTGACTAGAAGTGGAAGAAGAAGCAATGATAGGCGAGTGAGAAGCGTGGGAGCGAGTGCTCCGCTTGAGGCAAAGTTGGATAAGTTGCTTGAGGTTATGCTTGAAGATAAAAGGCAAGGGAAACGGGCGGTAATTTCGTGCGACTGGTGTTTGAGCACTAACCACGAGATGGCGGAGTGCCAAGCAATGAAGGAGGCAACCACTCCGGAGGAACAAGTCAACTTCGTGGCAAATGCTAGGGTCAACAACCCATATAGCAATAGTTATAACCCCGAATGGAGGAACCACCCCAACTTTGCTTGGTCATCACCGACTAATCCGAGGCCCCCGGGTTTCCAAGGCCCCACGGGGAACTTCCAACCTCAGCCCACCTTCATCCAACAAGGACCCCAACTTCAAGGCTCAAACTTCCAACAACCGTATCAATCACAAGGTGACCTAGGGTTTCAACAACAACAACCCGACAAGCTATCTAAGCTCGAGGACCTAGTGAACACCTTTGTGAGTACGAGTAGCCAAAAGTTCGAGAAGACTGATCAATTTATGGATGTGGCGACTACCAAGTTTACCTCGGTTGAGGCGGGTTTCCGAAGTCATCAAGCGAGCCTTCAACGTTTGGAGGTGCAAATCGGCAATCTTGCCGGCATCCTCACCGAGAGACCGAAGGGATATTTACCTTCCGAAACCGTGACGAACCCCAAGGATCAAGTCGAAGTGAATGCACTTCAAGTGAGGAGTGTGAAGGTGGTTCCGGAAGTCGCCACGGAAGAAGTGATAGAGAAGGAAGATTCCAACAAGGAAGAGACCAATCCGAGGAAGGGAGAGAAGAAGTCCTCGAGGAATGAGAGGAAGGCGGCAAGGAAGGCATTGCCGGAGGATGGATACATGCCACCTCTTCCTATCCCACAAGGATGTGCATGGAGAGGTTGGAGAACGAGTGTGTGGGTTTCATGGAAATGCTCCGCAACCTCCACCTCAACATCCCCTTCCTCGAAGCCATGGCTCAAATGCCAAGATATGCCAAGTACCTCAAAGGATTCCTCATAAAGAAGCCAAGGCTTGAAGGCCTCGCCAACGTGACTCTTGGCGAGGAGTGTTCGGCTTAGCTCCTCGCCCGCTTGCCCAAAAAGCTGTTCGACCCAGGTAGCTTTACTTTCCCTCTTGATATTGGTGATCAACATATAGACAATGCCTTGGCAGACCTAGGAGCTAGTGTGAAAGTGATGCCCTACAAGCTTTTCAAAAAGTTAGAAGTAGGTGAACTTAAGACCTCTAAGCTTAGCATCACCTTAGCCGACCGTTCGGTCCTTAGAGGTATAGTAGAGGACATGATGGTGAGAGTGGGAAAGTTTTGCTATCCGACCGAGTTTGTGATTCTCGAAATAAGTGAGGACAAATATGCCCCTCATCATCAGTCGTCCCTTTCTCGCAACCTCCAAAGCATTGATAGACGTTAATGAGGGAACCCTAATTTTGAGGGATGGTAAGGAGAGAATCAAGCTTGAAATTGATCCTAGGGTTAGGAGTGATGAAGTGAAGCAAGTGATTTCAAATGATGTGAATGAGAGTGGGGGAGAGCCTCTCACGGCAAACCCCACCGTTACTTGTGGTGGCTTTGATGATGTTGAGCAGGAACTTAAGAAGGGTCCTAAGACCAAAGGATCGAGGATGAGTTCTTGGAGAAGAAGGATGAAGGGAGTTTGGACCCGGAAGTTGGGGGAGGCCGAAGCAATGTTGGCCAACTAAGAGGGCCAA